TGAGTTCATACAGGTGTCTCTTAGACGAGGCCTTTGAATGATTGGGTATGATGTTTCCACCAACCAAGACTGGGAGATTGCAGGAAGAGGGGCAAGTTTGGAAGCCAGGCATATCATGAGCTCAGTTCTGAGTGTTTTTCTTCAGACGCTTGCAGCCCCACGGAAGGGGCTGGTAAGGGCAGGTGGATGGCCTGGCATTTGGGAGATGGGGGATGGAGGTATGCTCTTGGGAGCAGGTAAGTGGCCTTTGAAGCCCTGGGCGTGTATCAAGTGCCTCTTGAGAGTGTTGTTGTGAGAAGAAAAGAGCTAAGAATAGGCCCCTGAGGAACACCCTCACTTAAGGTGCAGACAGAGGAAGTGGAGCTGCCCACGACGCTGGGGAGATGCCAGGGGTGTAGGAGAATGTTGTTTTTCTCTCACTTCCAGCACGTCTTCTTTGGTTAGAAGCAGAGGGGTGGCCAGACAGCGATAGTTACGGGCAGAGTGTGGTGTGGCAGGGCGCTGGGATGTTACGGGGGTGGGGTGGGCCAGTGTGGGTGTGGTAGGTCACGGGGAGCTCTGCCTTCACTCTCTTTCTCTAGGAAGCAGGGAAGAGGGCTGGGCGTCAGAACTGTTGGATTCCCTGCTTTCTCTGCCACTTCACGCCTCCCCAAACACCCTTGGCTTATTCGGACCTCTAATCTGTGTAGGAAAATCTCCTTCTAAATATGGGAAGGAAGCAGAGTTGGTGGAGGGAAGGAGAGGGGCTGCTTCGCTGTTGAGTGTTGGTGTGTGTCCATGTGTGTTTGTGTGTGTTGTCCACACACGTGCACGTGTATGAATATGTGTCCCTGTGTGTGTGTATGGATGTGGATGTGTGGGTCTCATGTTAGTATTTATGTGCCCATATGTGTATAATATGTGCATGTTTTTCTCTGAGCGTCTCACAAGAAAAGTATAGAAACTGAGAGGAAGCATCGAGACACTTTTATGCCAATTTGGTAGAGTGCTTTTATGTTAATTGAATCTAAGAATGAGAAATTCGGCCTTGTGTTTTCTATATGTATATGCTCTATTTCATTTTTCTAGTAATTCACTTTATCGTGTTTTATGAAGGCATTGGTCGGTGGCAGACTGCCTACAAAACTGCTCCTTCCTCATAGTTAGAGAAGCACTAATTGGGACCAGGTCAACATTCTGGGAAGGTCCTAATTCTGAAATTCCCCAGGGAGAGAGAGACTCACTTCAGAAATCTGAGGTTCCTGCTGTGGGTCGTATTAAGGAGGCATGAGGACAGACAAAGGGGTGGAGGTCAGGCCTCAGATCTGACTGGCATCTGGGGGCACAACGTGCTCTTCCTCCCCTTCCTTTCCCCTAAGTGAGAGAGGACCACCAGGCAGTTCTCAAGTGGGTGGGAGACCGGCCCTGCTGGGCCTCCAAGCCCGCGCTGGCTCAAGGTGCTGCCCTCCCTCCTGCCCACAGAGCAGGTGAAGCTGATGCCTGAGAGGCAAGATGGGGTTTCCAAACCTCCATACTTTCCCCAGGATAGTAACGCACACTCAGTGGGGAAGAACAGAGTCTTTTATTGCAGCAAAACGAGACACCTTGGTCCGGTACAGGGAACCCAGGCAGATCTTCCTGCCTTTCTTCCTTAGATAATCTTCCCGGCCTGCGTCCCTCTGAACTGTCCAAACACAGCCCTCCCAAGGCCCTGACTTGGTTGGCATTTGCCATTTTATATTGCTTTTCTTTAAGAAGGTCTCCAAAATTATACACGCCTTAGGCCCCACAAAACCTGGATCCACCTTCGCTGAGATCCTCAGTGCTTGACCCTGGAAGGGCCACACAGTATCAAACTCAGAAAGCAAATAAGCGACAGTGAAGGGCTAAAGAGAATGACTCCTCTTTCCTCATCATTTGGAGCATCCATAAAACCCCCCATGGAATTAAGAGTATGTGAAGTTGGGTGTGTGGGAGGGAAGCGGCATTTGCAAAGAGGGGAAGGTTTAGTCGAGAACTCAAGGGTGGAAATTCAGCAGCGATGTCCGGAGTGTGCAGAGCTTGGGGTGGAGATGGCCGGGGGCGGGGGGGCACCTGGCTATAGATAGTATTATCCAAGTGCACAGGGACCGCTGATACCAGCTGGAACCAGGCCATCCTTTTCTGCCATGGAGGGACACAGGCCATGGTGTGAGGAGTGGTCACTTGCTTCTCGTTGTACAGCAGTCTGGACACTCCCTGAGATGAGCTCGCATGTAAAGGACACAGGCCCTTGGCCCAGGTGGCCCAGTTCTCATGGCTGTCCTTGCAGGCTACGCTGCGGGTCTGACAGGTGGCATCTCTCATAGGGGAGTAATGACACAGAGGAGGAGTACGACACCACGGGGGGAGCCCTGCTCACCCCTCCAAGAATTTCGTACCCTAAGGCAGTTATTGCAGGGCTTCTATGGCCTCAGACATTTAAGACCACCACTGACATTTTATGGTTCAGTCCCAGCAGAGAATGTGCCTTTTTATGCCCCCCAGTAAATACTTATATTGTTTGTCCCTCCTAAGAGTTTTATGAGGCAAGTATGATTACTTTTTTTAATATATGAGCAAACTGAGGCTCAGACAAGTTAAGGAAATTGCCCATCACCACACAGCTAAAGAGAGTCAGATACAGGATTTTAATCAACGCTTCTTGGTTTCCAATGCCCCTGTTCTTTCCACACTCCCACGTTTCTTGTTTGAAACACTGAGAAGTCAGACCACAAGGGTACGAATCTTGGAAGAAAAATGGGCTAAGGGTCCACACTCCACTCTCCCAGGCTAGCTCAGGCGTTCCTGAGTCAGTATTAAGGTTGTGGAGTGAGGCTGATTCCTTTCTGTTCTGTGTCCTAGTTGCTCACTGAAGCTAGAAAAACAGTCGCTCCCAGTAAGAGAGTCACTGCTCCAGCTGGTCAAGCAGCATGGTAGTTTTGGGTTTTTTCTGCAGCAGACATTTTCCCTGTTGGAGAAAGTCTTGGAATGATAGAGTGTCAGAGCTGGAAGAGTTCTTAGACATATCTCAGTCAACTCCTTATTGTACAGATGAAGGAGCCGGAGTTCGTGAAAGAGGCCACCTATGAATGGCAGAGCTGGGGCCAGGAGCTTTCTGACTTCCAACCCAGCCCTTTGGTGTGGTGCCAGGCTGAAAAGGGAGGGAGTAAATGGTTCCCATAGGGGGAGGGCACAGTGAGTGTGTCTCTGTTTGTAGTCTTGGGTGGTGCATGAACATTGCCTTCAATAATTCTCTTCTGATCCTTGTGATAACATTTAGGAGGAAGTCTCCTATTAGAGCAAGGAGGTAAATTCTTCTCCCCCTTTCCAATAGAGGCCACAGATCTCAGGCTGAGTCTTTGCCTGAAAACAATATCTGGATAGAATTTTTAAAAATTGGATGACACTGGGGCACCTGGCTGGCTCAGTCGGTGGACCATGCGACTCCTGAGCTCAGGGTCGTGAGTTTGAGCCTCACGTTGAGCGTAGGGATTACTTAAGAAAATATAATAATTGGGGCGCCTGGGTGGCTCAGTCGTTAAGCGTCTGCCTTCGGCTCAGGTCATGGTCCCGGGGTCCTGGGATCGAGCCCCACGTCGGGCTCCCTGCTCCGCGGGAGGCCTGCTTCTCCCTCTCCCACTCCCCCTGCTTGTGTTCCCTCTCTCACTGTCTCTCTCTGTCAAA